TCTGCTGATGACGGTATCTCTCCCCGTAACTCTATAGCAGGTCAATGTTATGCCTGCTTGGACACACAGGCCTGAATTGTTCACCTCAGGTGGCTTTCAGTTCCCTTTGATCATGCTGGAATTTTTCCCTGGTGCCTTTGAGAATGACTCTTCCAGTACAATAATCATTACAATTTGCTTCATTGCAACGCCTAGACCCCCTGCAAGATGAAGGCTTCATTGCTGAGCTGTACATTGAATATGCTGTACATCAGGGGTGTAACCCATGGGCTGGATCTAGCCCACACAGCTGTGTTGTCTGGCCTGGAGGACTCAAAAAAGTGGTGGGAATACAGGAGTGGAGCAGCATCTCACCAGAGATGCATGGCAGCAGCTAGGGGTGAACAACAGCTGCATTAACCCCTGCAGCTGCGTAGTCATGGTGTGATGAGACTCACTCAAGGCTCCCATTTGAAGGTTCATTTGATTTCTGCAAGGATTAATTTGGTTTCAGCTGAGTTTTTAGGTGCTGCCACAGGACCAGCCAGCACAGGGGCTTGATTCAAACGAGCAAGACAAGATCATGAAAATGCCATCTCAAAAAGTCCATGTCTAACACATGTGAGTGTTTCTTGTTTCTCCATACATCTCGTTGGGTGCAGCCTGCCCATTGATTCATGTCTAGGCCTTTCTATAGCCCAACTTAGCCACCTACGCACCTGCAAGCAGTGGTTCTCAACCTTTTTGAGAGTGAAGGCACCCCCCTGAGAAAATGCCAGCTCTTCATTTTTGCTCCTTTAACTACAGAAAAATAATAGAGCAATTCTTCTGTTGCAAAGAACTCAGAAAGACCACAACAGGTCAGCATGGTTTTAACATTTTGGATTCCTTTGTGAAAATTCAGCGTTTATCTTGTAAATCATTTTTGCACGCCTAACAGTGCTAACATTGTATGGCACCCTGCAACAGCCTTGATAGGATCTCAAGACACCCCAGGGTGCCATGGAATCCCAGTTGAGGATCATTGCTTTAAAGGATTTTGGGCTTGGGTTCCTAATTTAGGGGCCCAGTCTTGAAAACCTCTATGAGATGAAAAATCCTTGTCCTTGCAAGTAGCCCGACTTCAATAGGAATAGCCATGGGAGTAAATGGTTTTTATCCAAGTATAGATTGGGAAACTGGGTCTATCTCTTTCTGTCTTTTGGACAAGCACCACAACTTCCTCATCTCTAAAGTATCCCATGTGCTGTGAGTGCTAGGTAAGTAATCACAACCCAGTGCTGGAGGGTATGTTTGCTATTTCAGTGTGATTGTTCAACAGCTCTGGCTGTAAAAACAGAGCTCAGAAGACAAAGACAAAGCCCCAAATTTTGCATCCTTTGACCAATCCAAATTCCCACTGCTTTGATCAAAACAGGGTCAGGTCCTCAATGTAAAATATGATTTATTCAAAGTGGGGTTTTCAAAATATTCCCCTGCATTGGCCTAATTTTGCTCCTTGTTTAAGCCACATGGTAACTCTCCTTGATCTCAATGGAAAAGAGTTGAGCTAAGGTGGAGCAGTTATGGAAATCCAACTTCTAGTTGTATCTCACTTCCTTTGGTCCCTTCCTTTTGGGAAATCCTAGAGCATTTCTCAGAAAATGGTAACTTTTTCCCAGGCTTTTTGAACCCTTCTTTAAAATAGAATAGGAACTGACATCCCTGCTATAGGATTCTATAGGACAGTTCTGCAAACCTATAGAAAACATACTGGTCTCTACTAAAGTCTATCAGATTTTTAGATTTAGATTTCAGATTAATTTCTATAACATTATTTTATTCCCCATTACATTGCACAGGAATCTTTTAGAGAGGTAGGGGAAAAAAGATATGGTCAGAAAAAACAGTGGCTTTTGTTCTGCATTTTTACTGAGCCCCAGATAAGTTCAACTGTCATACGTGAGATAGTGTCAGATGCTAAATTGTAGACAAATTAAATAAAATTCTGAGCTCACAAAATAAAGGACAGTTGTTTGAAAAACAGACGACAATGCTTTTTCCACTGTGTTTCTTGTTTCCCATTGTCTTGGATATGTGCTGATGTGGCTGGACTGCTACTGATACCCAAGCCAGCATTTTTAAGGCTAACTTTGGTGTGTCTACTGCAGACAGTATAGATGTGTCCTTAGCGATCACGGTGTGATATTCAACATTGGTAGCAGTCTGTGATCCTTTGCATGAAACCAGGTGGAAACCCCAGTTTTTAGAAGTTCTTAAATGCATGCTGGACAAACATTTGTCTGGGGTGGTTTAGACTGGGACCTTGAGCAGAAGGCTGGACAAGATGACCTCTTAAGGTACTTTTCTGCCCTGTTTTTCCTATTATTCTAAGAAGACTGCTTGCCAATGTGCATTTTAGCTTATAATGTTTAGTAACTATTAGAAAAGGATCACAGGGCACTATGTAATACCTATCACACCTGGAGCACCTAAATCACTAAGGCGCATGTTTACTTAAAGAGATTACGTGTTCACTCTTCTTTCTGTAGCCTGTTTGCTTCTCCTCTTCCCCATTTCTAGTGCATGCTATATCTTTACTCATAAATATTTATGACATAGGGAGGCTTGGAGACCCCATCCAAAGGTAGGGCAGTACTGTGCCTAGCATTGCACAGAGCCAGAGATAGTTCCTTTCCTGAAAAAAATGATGTGAATAGACAAGACAGGTAAGGAGCAGGAGGGACAGCAGAGGTGAAGGGACTTTTCAGGGGTCGAAGAGCAAATCACTGGCAAAGCCAGGCACAGAATACAAGTCTCCAGAACCCCACTTGACTACCCAGTATCTACTAGATCGCAGCGTTTGGTCAAATCCAGTCCTATGCTCTGGTCCACATACCCATGGACCTGAATAGAGCCCCATGGAAAGCAGGATCAAGGGCATTAGCTGGCAAAACTTTTAGAGATCCTTGCTTTTCTTGTCAAGTGGTCACTCTGTGGCACGCTCTACAGTAGGGGTCAGCGACCTTTTAGGAGAGGCAGCCAAAGTAACCCACTTCTGACTCAGGCACCCTTGCCCCTGCTTCCCTGACCACCAAACTGCCACAGGTATTCCAGCTTCATGGACCAGATGCAATCTCTTGACAGGCCAGATCTGGGCCATTGGTTGCCATCCCTTGCTCTGAAGCAGGGGTGCTCAACCGCTGGCCACAGGTCAAATCCAGCCCACAGTGTCACGGCATCTGGCCCATGGGGATCCCCACAAATCTAGAAATTTGTCAGCAGGGGAGCAGTGGAAGCTCCATGTAGCTGGATCCAGCCCTGCCTGGGCCAGTGCTGCACAGCGGGATCAGGGCTGGGCCTGCCCCCGGTGTGTCCGGATTGGGCCGAGCTGCTCCCCATCCCCACCACACCCTGCACATCTGGTTCAGGGCTGGGTCACTCCACCCCTCGCCCCTGTGTCCTGATCCAGACCAGGCTGCTTCCCACCCATGGTGGATGGATCAGGGTCAGGCTGTACAGCTCCCAGCAACTGAATCGGGCCCCCAGCCACACCGCAGCCGGACTGGACACAGCCTGTGGGATGAGAAAGTTGGGCCCAGAGGAAGAAGAGGCCTTTATTTCCCAACATCTGACCATGACTGTGAGGCCTGGGAGTGAGCCAGCCCCCCTGCCAAGCGTTCAGCCCTGCACAGTCGGGGGTCCACGCATAGGGCAGGGATAACCACGGGGGCGGGAGTGGGGTCACCGCTGGCCCCTGCCCGCACCCTAGACAAGGTGACAGGTGATTTGCACCCCCCACAGGAGAGGTGGCAAGTAGGTGCGCATGGGCATAGGGGTGTACTGCAGGTGCTGCCGCTGCCTGCCCCTGGCCCTGCAAGTGGGGAACAGCGTTGCCAGGCCTCAAATAGGAAAGGTTCGTATGTGTTGAAAAACCATCGTACACTGAAAAAATATGCAAAAAAAGGATGCAAATAAGTCTTCTTGTTTACTTTATATTGCCAGTGAGCGAGTAAGAACTGGAAGTGTTTCTTTATTTCGAAGCCAGGTCATAAGGAAGTGCTGAAAGCAAGCCCAAAAGAGGGGTGTTAAGACTTCGTTAGAGCAACTTGAGTCACAAACACCACATGCCCCTGGAGGCTGAGGGGGCATGGCGAGCTCCCGCAGGTAGTCGCAGCAGTGTTGGTGGCTGGGGGGAGCCAGCGTTGACCAGTGGTCGGCGACCATCCGCAGACGCTGCCAGTGGTGTCAGCAAAAAGCGGGGTGGGGGCATGGGGGCAAGCAGCAACCACCGGCAGTGTTGGCGGTGCTTTTTGCAGGGACTGCACTGCAGTGCTCAGGATGGGTACGTGCATCCGCATGCACCCCCTACGCATCGCCAGTGACTTGGGTTTTGCACATCCTGCATTAATTTGCTGCCGCAAAAACTACTGCGTTTTGAACACTGTTACTATCTTTTTGTACACTTTGGCTTTTACTTTTTTGTACTTTACCTTTTTTGTTCACATTGCCTTTTATATTTTTTGTACGCTTTTTTGTACACTTTGACCTTTTGTTAAAAAAAAAGGTGTACACTGACTTTTTTGTGCACTTTGACTTTTAAAAAATGTTTTCGTACACTTTGACTTTTTTTTTTTTTAGATTTTTTTTGTACACTTCGACGACTAACTGCACATCGTGCCCGGGTTCAAACCTTGGCACCACCACGACCACCCGCCCACCCCTGGCAACGCAGCCCGGCACGCACAGAGTTAAGAGGAACCCGCGCCCGGGCAGCCGCCAAGCGCGTAGCTGTCGCAAAACCCCTCCCACTGCCGCAAAGCTCCCCGCTCTTCTCTCCCGGCTGAGCCGCCTTTACGCGCTTTACGCTCCAGAAGGGCCGTCCCCGCCCTCCGTCCGTCTGCGCCTGCGCCGAGCCCGGCCGCCGGCGACTCGCTATTCACCAAGGGCTTGTGCGCCGGCGGGGTGGCGTGAGCGAGCCGAGCTTCCGCCGAGGTTTACGCGGCTGGAGTAGAGGCGTCGCTCCGAGCCCAGCGCCTGGGTGGTGTGTGCAGGGGGAGGGGGAGCGGAGGCTTAAAGGGACAAGAGCGGCGGAGGCCGGAGGGAGGCTCCATGGCGAGGCTGGCGGGGGGCAGGGGGCCCGGCCCCCGCCCCTGAGGCGCGGCAGGAGGTAAACCCATGGCTCCCGGGGGGCTGGGGGGGAAGGGGCTGCCCTGTTGCGGGGTGGGGGGCATCGTCCTGTAGGGGGGCAAGGCTGGAGGCAGCCTCAGGGCTGCGCCGGGCAGGGAGCTGCCGCCACAGCGGCGGGACGTGGTGGAAACGTGGGCGCGATGCTGTGCGCTGGGCGGCGTTTCCCCGGCACCTGGCTGAGGGACTCTCTCTTTTTCTCATGTAATTTTCTTTCTTCCAGCCCCTGGCGGGTGCCCGGCTCCCCTCGAGCCCGTGTTTTTGCTTTGGGTTGAAAGACACCGACATGGGCGCACGCCCATGTTGGCCTGCGGTGGGGGGGGAAGCAGACGGACCGAGTCCTTTGTACCTTTTTACCCCCACCCCCACCCGGCCGGGCGGATTGGGGAGGGTCCATGTGGGGAGCAGAGGTTGCAAACAGGGCTTTATCCCTGTACATATGTATTTTCTCTTTTAAAGCAAAGCTGCTGAGTGAGGATGGGTGGGACTTCAGCCATAGAAAGAATAAAGGCGGCAGGGAGCCGCTGAACTTTAAATGTTGCCTGAGCTGCTGAGAGGGGATTAAAAATAAGGACCGTGAATATTTTATCGTGATGGCGCTTGGTGCGGTGCTCAGCCCACCCGCAGCCTGCGCCTCCCGGCGCTGACCTGTGGAGCAGGATCTGGGGAAAATCCATTACGGCCCTCAAATCCAGTAGGGAACCAAGCGGTGGAGTTAGGCTGCCAGGTCTGTGGGGAAGGGGTCTTTCACTGGCAAACGTTTTCTCAGCTTCAGCAGAGTGGGGACCCGCCACGTTCTGGGGAGTTCGGATTGTTGTTCTTGCTCGTTTCAAACCAGGCTAGAAGCAGCAACTGACAAGTTAGACACTGAGCGGAGGTAACTAGGAGCCCGGCCAAGCTGCAGGTGCACTGATTGTGGAAGAGTGAATCGTCTGTATGGGTATATTTGGAAGTTACCGAGTTTAAATAGCCCATTGGTTTTCTGCTTGTACCACAAGTGGCTGGATATCTGGAAACCGGTTATGTGTGCGAGCATGTCTGCTAGTGGGAGTGCCCAGCCAGAATGTCATACACGTGGTCTGCCCCTGATCACCAGGACAGAGATTTAAAAATCAGCCCTTATATAACAGCTTGAAGAAAGGTTTGGTGTTTGCCAACATGTCTGAAAGGGAATGACTCTAAATTAGGGCAGGAGGCCTCCACTGGGAGAGTGTGGGAAGGCCTTCTCTTGTTCCTGTGAGGACTTTCTGTAGGCTTAAATGCCAGAAGTGACTTGTCAATGATTGTATTCACTGCCATTTCAGTTAGAAGTGTTGATTTGTGAGGGCTTGATGAGTGCTCAGGGTTGGGCCTGGCCTTAAAATGCAAGCAAAGCAGTCCAAATTCAGATCCAATGTGCACCTGGAAGCAGCTTCACTGAAGTTGGTGGAATTGTAACCTACTTAGACTTGACTTCTTGGCCCCACCCTTATGTCAGGGCACCTAGTCTCATTATGATCTAGTAACTGCTGCTATCTGGTGTACAGTGTCTTGGGATTTGATAGCTCTGTAATTAGTTTGCAGAAGTTGCAAGGTCTTGGAAAAAAAAATCAATGTGATATTTTTCTTGCATTCAAATGGATTAGGTAATAATAGCTAGCGTTCTGCCTGGCTGAGTGAATCGGGAAACTGTGCACTGTATAGAAGTTTGTTTGAGGTGCAGAGTGGCGCCTGTGGCTGTTACCCTTCATTGTGGCTTGGGTTGGGTTTGGTTGTTGCCACCCACTTTGTCAGACTAGGGAACAGGAAGGTGGACTCAGAGTTCAGCAGGTTTCTGACTCCTCCCTTCTCCGCCGCCTCCTCCCAAAGCAATTCTTGTCTGTCGTTCCAGCATAGTTGAGAGGTTTTGCATCACCTTGCTGCTGCTTGCATGCTACCTCTCAGTTTCCATGCAGCCTAAGTGTTGTCAAAAGTGTTAATATGAGAGTGACTCAGCGGATCAATGAAAACAGCATGAGTTGAGCTTATGGACAACTGGTATCTCTCTGTCTCTCTCCCTCTCCCTTTTTCCAGGCAGACTAAAAGAGGTGATGTTGTCCTGTAACAGCTGCCAGTAAACATGTTTATTGGATGTCAGCCTAATCGCATTCAGTAGCTTTCTCTCTACCTGTGCTCTGTGCTGTCCACCAGGCTAATTTCCATGGCTAGGAGCGCTTGCTGAATGCCAGGTAGCTGTTGCAGCCTCTAGTTGTTTTCAGCCTTGGCTAGGCTAGCTAGGTACTTCCCTGGTTTTTGCAGTATCTGAATACCATACATCATTAGTAGATTTGCAAGAATCCTATGAGTTAGAGAAGCACTTATCCCTATTTCATGCATAAGCCTGTGCAATGCCTCAGTTATCTAACTGAAGTAATTTCTTAGGTTGTTAAGAAGTCTCTTTTAGAGCAGGGAATCGCATGCAAAGTCCAAGGCCAGTATCCTGGTCTGTAGACCTTCTTCCTTATGTCCCCTGGCCTGTGCCTGGTAAGCTTGCTTGATGCAACTGAAACAAAATGTGTGTAGGCTTGAGACAGGACGGTGTGCACCTCCGAAGAGCACTCACAGGAAGGGCAGGCAGTGGTTAGGACCTCAATGTGGGCTTCAAGAAACCTGAATTCATATTCCTGTCTCCCACAGATTTCCTGTGTGGGGCTGAATGTAGCTTCTCCTTGCCTCCCTAAATACAGTGGGGATAACAGTACTGCCCTGCCTTACAGGGTTGCTGAGGTGAACGTGTGTTAAAGACTGAAGTGATCAGATAACTCAGGCCAGGAGGTATGATGATGGGTTTGGGACCTTGTTTCCCCTAGTGCCCCCTGGCATAACAAGGAATAACGGCCATAAGTTGTTGGAAAGGAGGTTTAGATTAGACGTCCATAAGAACTACTTCACAGTTAGGGCAGGTAGTATCTGGAACCAACTTCCAAGGGAAGTGGTGCTGGCTCCTACCCTGGGGGCCTTTAAGAAGAGGCTTGATGCCTACCTAGCTGGGATCATTTGAGCCCAGTTTTTCTCCTGCTCAGGTAGGGGGTCGGACTTGAAGACCTATAAGGTCCCTTCGACCTGACTTCTATGATGAGTGTATAAAATAGATCTCTGGGTGCTTTGTAATCTGGATGCTGTAATAAAGCTTCATCTAGCTAGTGGAGAATTGGCCCTGACAAAACAAGAAGCCATCCAGTTAGCCCTTCCCTCTGCCACAGATGGTGGGGCTTATTGGGCTAGAGCGTTATGGCTGTGCAGTGTGAACAGGGAAGGAGAAACTCTTTGCAGTGATCCAGCCTGGCCTGCAAATTATTTTTACCCCATTAGAGCAACTGCAGTTGTATAAACAATGTTTTGAATTCAAATGGACATTTCTAGGCTTCTTGCTTGTGTTAAAGGACTCCCATAAGTCCCTGCCCCTTGCATTAGGACTCCCCTGAATCCCTGCTTGAATTGCAGAGTTATGGAACAGATTGTCAGCTAAATGCTGGCTTTTTCTTGCTGGTCATGTTAACATGCTGTTACCACTGGAGGAAAAAAAAGGTGCTTACTGCAGAGTGCTTTTAGTTCAGCTGTTACAGGGTATTATCTGTCCTGCGTATACTATGATGGATCACACTGGCGCATCTGGCACCCAAACATGCTTAAAACATGATTCTGTCTTTTCTTTCAGTGGAGGCAGTACGTCATTATCTGTCCTAGTCTTGCTTACATGGTTGGGTCCAGCCTACCCTACAGTGCTGAGGAGCAGACACCTTGCAGATGGGTCACCTGGGCCCAAATACTTACAGTGTAGACCAGCGGTTCCCAAACTCGCAGATTGCGCACCACCAATTTAAAATGATACAACCTTAAGTACCACAAGCAAATTTTTGTCATATAAAGTAATTATAATAAATCTGTTAACATGTACCACTGACAGGTTGTCTGCATACCACTGGTGGTATGCATCCCATAGATTGGGAACTGCTGGTGTAGACAACACACTTCCCTTTACCTCTCCGGTAGCAGCAGATTCGACAGCAAACCAGTTAGCTGTCCAAAGGAGGCTGGCAAGTACCTTTGTTATTCAGTAAACAACTATAATTAAACTGGAACATGCATGTGATGCTCTTTCCACGTAGCATTTTCAGAATGCTCCACAGAACAAGGTGGTTACAGATTTCTTAAGAGGTTTGTGGTAAGGAGTGACTCTTAGTGCTGGCATATCTGTTTGCATCTGGGACTTAAGTATCCTTGACATTGATTTTTCTCCCTTCTGGAAAGATTGTGGCGAGGAGTTGGTTCCATGTCCAGTAGGAGCCTCTGAAGACCAAGGAGTTTGTAGTCTTGAATTTTGAAGGAAAGTGATAGTCCTCCTTTGGCAAAGCGGTGTATGGTGATAGGATCTGCTGACACTGCCACTGGCCTGATTACGCCTGAGATCTTATTGCAGCACATCAATGCCATCCTTTCTAGGAAATACTTAGGGTGAGCACTTGAGGTCAGATCACCTGTGTTAGTCAAATGAAGAGATTTGTTGGATGCTCTGCCTTTGAAAGAACTTGTGTTAAGTTTGGTAAATAATACAGTTATTTGTGGGAGCTTGGACTCGCACAACATGAGGCACAAAGCCTTCAGGTATGAGGACAGAATTTAATCTGGTGAACTGTACTGGTGAGGTGCATCACAGAGATTTTCGGCTTCCTCTTAAGCATTGGATCCTGGAAGCTGCATTTGAGGCTGACTGCTTCAGTACTGTGCAAACTGGAGTTCAGAAAATGGGCAGGAAGGCACTTCTGTTCAGCATGGGCAAAGGAGGAACAAAGCAGCCAGGTGCCCAAGACAGCTCCCACATACTGGGCAGCTTTTGGTTGCTGCTGTTTTTTCCATCTCCCCCAAGCTGGCACCCAGAGTGGCTGCCCTGGTCACTATGCCATAGTTATGCCATTGAGCATGGGCCAGAGGAGCTAAATGCTGGGAGGGCAAAAGCAGCATTAG